AAAAGGTGGGGTAGCTATTTACCAAAATAATAATAATGTTACTAATATTATTTGTTATTAATAATTTTTTTATTAAATTCCATATTTTTATTTGCCATTCAAAAAATTGTAATTGTATATTATTTTTGAGTCACCCTGCTCTTCAATTGATTTGTTCCGGTTAAGATATGCGAAAATACATCTAAAAGTATACAAACACTTTGCGCATACTTTGTGTTAGTGTTAGGTTTATTTCCGTTACGGAATTTCTTGATCGCTCAAAGCCCGCGATAGAAGCTATGCAATAACTTAAAAACTTAATTTTTACCTATTTTAATACAAATCTTTATTATTGCCTTCAAAATAGGTTTATAAGCTAACACAAGCTTGCCGAGGCTTGATCTAATTTTCCATACACTTGGGTTTCTCGGTTTCGTCTATGCAACGCCATTCTCTAGACTGTGAGACAGTTTCGATGTAATATTCAAAAACTAACTTCACGTCACCTTTAATGATGTGTTTGATGAATGTAGGGTGCTCAGCTACGTTGTCAAGCATATCTTTTGCTATCTTTAGATCTGTTGATACGCGTATATCAATAGCACGCTTCATAAGCAAAACATTAACCAAAATTATTAAGTCTATTAATCTTAAGAGCTATTTCTCTGATGCTAACACGGCGATTTTCAAGTACTGAGTACCTAGACATTTGTAAAAGAATAGATTATGTATACGACATACGTTTAGTTGTGCGAATATGCCCGATTTTGTGCCAAATAGTCGTCATTTGCGGAAGTGTTGATTTTCTTCTTTCAGTCAAAGAAATCGGCGGCTGAAGCACATCGGGAACTCCAAAAAGTTTACGGAGGTGCTGCCCCAAGTGAAATAACGTGCCGTGATTGTTTTCATCGCTTCAANATATATATATATATATATGCATGCTCATACATAAACATTTCGCATGAATCAATCAGTGTACATATTTACATACATATGTTGCATGTAGACGGATATACAAACATGCGTGTAGGTTTATTTCCGTTACGGAATTTCTTGATTCGGTCGCCGCTAAAACAGCTATGCAATAGCTTAATAATAATGATACTAATATTATGAGACCGAATATTGAATAATTTATTTGTATTAACTAAATTTTTATTAAATTCCATATTTTTATTTGCCATTTAAAAAATTGTATCTTAAATATTATTATTTTTGAATCACCCTGCTGTCTCTTCAATTGATTTGTTGCGCTTGAGATATGCGAAAATACCTAAAAGTGTGCAAACATTTCGCGCGTACTTTGTGATCATGTAAGGTTCATTTCCGTTACGGAATGTCTGGATTCAGTCCCCTCGCTGAAAGCCCGCGATAGAAGCAATAGCTTAAAAATTTTAAGTGGATATTGTTTCGCTCTCTAATAGGTTTAATGTGCATATCTCACTACTAAAGCTATTATAACCGAATTTTCTGAAAAAAACCTTTCTAGCACTTCTTCATACACTGGAAAATGGATGAAATCAGATGATAACCACACCCACTTCCGATATAATTGGTAGGTTGAATACTCATAAAAGTGTGATAACTCACTAAATAAATACATTAAAAGCATTAAATTTTACATCCTACATAATATATGGTATAAAGGCCTCATAGGACTCCATATAAAATTGGACTTTTTTCATTTCGAATATACCATGGTAAACATGTTATTGCTCTAACATAATACAGTCAATGTTGGTTGTACAGCGGTCGTAACCCACCGCGTTGTATCAGTTTATAACATTAAGGTAATTTAATAATTAGTCCTTAATATATTTTTATCGAAAATCCCTTATAATGATTTATTACATGCTTTCGATAGGCGCCGAATATAATTGATTTGAAAAATAAGTAATTGAACGTTTCAAATGTTTTTCTGTTTTATCTTGTTCACTTTTTAATTTTGTATGCCTTGCTCTCCATTTGTTTTGCATTTTTTTAGGTGGAATTGTTTAAAGTACTTCGAGGAAAAATTTCAACTTCAATGATTAGAAGTTCGCTTGACCGTCGTAAGCAATAACTTTAGTAAAAATGGAGATATTTTGACTTAAATTGTATACATCTTCCTTGTGATTTTAAGCATATTGATATTGCATCTAGACAAAATCGGTTATTGAAAAAAAAGTTCTTAAACTCAGACTTCAATTAAGCTACAAAACTAGAGTTTAGAAGAGGGTTTCATCGTGGGAAGGAGTATGAGTGATTTAACTTGTTGGACAGTGACTCCCAAATTACTAAATAAATCAAACATCATCAAAAACGTGAGAAACATTAAATTCAATAATAATGACTATTGAGCAGTCCTAAATGTAAACTATCCCAATAAAATTTGGGTCTTAAAATTTTTATCGTATCCTTATGGTACAGTTTCGGTTATAACCGCACCTACTTCACATTATTTATGTCATTAGATCATATGCGAAATCCCCAAATATATTCTTAAAAAGACGGTTTTTTTTCAATTCGTTCTGTTTTTTTTTTTTTAATTTCTAAACCCGGAACGGCCGGGACGCTCGGAATCCGGACTGTCCAGGCCAAACCGGGACGAATGGATAGCTAAGCTTAGACCTTTGGTTAATATATTATGTATCTTAATGAAATGAATGTTTTAATAAACATGGTAATAAATCGGTGATATCATTTAAGAACTTTGTGTTATATGGGTAGGCGTTATTTTAGTTTGATTTCGACCATTATCAAACTGTAACATTGGAAAGTCCAGATAATGATATGGTCCAAATTTGGTTGAAATTAAGCGGTGCCACACCCATTAACCATGTTCTATACCGATTCACATGAACGCCTTCCGTACCATATTTCCTCTCAAATTCAATTCTTCCAACTTGTTATAAAGGTTATAATCCGATTTCATATATAAAAATACGTTGTTTGATTAAGTACTACAGAGAAATGTTTTCAGCAAGTTTGGGTATATACATTAATCCTATTACAGGACGGGGCAAGCTGTTGTTAAAAATGCGCCACACCACTAAAATCTTATGTGCAAAATTTCAATTTTGTAGTTTATTTTAACTTTATTATACGAATTGATAGGTTTTCGCTTAACGAAATTTTTGAGATCTGAATTCTTACTTAAGTTATCGCCTGCACACACAGACAGACACACATCCGGAATTCAATTCGGTTCGTTAGCTTGAACAATTTGGTATAAATAAATCTATATCTATCTCGATTAGTTTTAGGTGTTACAAACATCATTTAGGTGAACAAAAGTTTATATTACCAATTGCTGGAAATCTTTCAATCGTATTGAAATCTTGCAAATTACAGTATCTATATACTACTTTTAATTAGAACGCTTCTAATCCAAATGCTTTTCAAAGGTTTATGTCTGATCAGGAAGCTTGGCATGAGTTATGTGGACTTTATTTGGCGGAAGGGGACTACTCTAAAGCGGTTTTCTGTATGGAAGAACTTTTACTACACAATCCACACAGTCATCTAATTCATCAGAGAATTGCGGAAATCCGCTATACAATGGTAATTATATGTTTATGTTAGTCGAAATATATGTACGTATATATACAGTGCCTAACGGAACTATCTGTGCTTAGTTTATTATAATTTCTTTTTACATAGGAACTACGGAAATTAATAAATAAATTGAAGCAAATTGGCATTAGTTGAGATGCCTCTGTTATGGCCAATTCACATAGAACTTTTGCTTAGCTTTGAGCCAGACATTTGTTTTGACAGAAATATTTGATGTACGCTTTTGTATGAGTACGTTCACATAAAAAGTTTTCGACGGGTAGTCAAGCAAAATGTTGGGCAACTCTAATCTTTTTTCGCTTTGGCAAGAAACAGTCGCCATTTTTTTTAGAAAAACTGAAAGCAAAACGTTTACTGTTGCATACACTTCGTTTCCTGCGTTTCGTTGTACGAACTGTCACGCAAAGCGAGGAAAGTGAAAGGAAAATCTTCTTGATTAGCTCCACATTGGGTAGCAACTTGAAAATCGATGGTTATCTTTTTTTATTCTGATATTCTTGCTATTGGAAGAATAATGTAACTTCATTCAAAATATATGCACTTTCTAGTTGTTTTCTTTTTTTAAACGCTTTTTCACGGCCTTACTGTTGAACAAAAACGTCAACTGTATTTTGTTAATAGGTCTTATTTCATATAAAAACGTTTTTAAAATCAAGTAAATAGCTTATAAACTATCTAAACTGGATTACCAAATTTGATGGTATCATATTAACTTATTTTGAAGTTCATAGACCCACTTAGTTTTATAACTATATTTTGATTCCCGCCACCGAAAATTATATTAAAATCATCCGCAAATGAGAAATATGACATACCTTGTAAACTCAACCGAAGAGGCTAAATTTAATATATTGAGTTGATGTGAAAAACGTCAACCAAATACAATAATTGAGACAATGTAATTTTTAACTTTTAAGAAAACATGTTCATTTACTTTCATTAAAATATGACACATTTTGAACAACCACAACGGTTTAAACAACACAAAACACGATCTCTCAATTTCATTAAAAATAATTCCATCATTGGACGATATATGTGGTATAAAGTCAACTGGAAGCTCGAAAATCGTTATATTAGTATATGGGGCTAAGGAAGTATTAAGCTGATTCAACCCATTTTTAGTACAAGGGATACTATTATCAAAAAAACATTTTCCCGAAGTTTCAATAATATATCTCAGTTTGACTGATATTTTTGGCAAAAAGTCACCATACACACTGTAGTCCACCATATTAGGTATATGGGGGCTTGAACAGCTATGGTCCGATTTTGAAAATATTCAGACTCGGAATGGTAAACTTCAAAATCATATATTTGTGTAAAGTTTCATCTGAGTATATTCATAGATGCTTCATTTGTGTCCTGAAAGAATATATGGAATTTAAATTGTGCTATATGGGAAGGAAGCGTGGTTATAGTCCGATTGCGCCCATTTTTACAATTAATATATAGGTCACCAAGATCATGTTCCGATTTTGGTGAAAATTAGTCGACTATGTCCGGAGATATTGACTTCACCTAAGTGTGGGCGGCCCCACACCCATTGTCCAATTTTGGCACCGGCTGCTATAAATTGTATTTATTTATTGATTTATCGCGCTTTTAGTAGTTTAAAACAAACCGTTATATGGTTAGAGAGAGGGGGTTTATAATCCGATTCATCCATTTTAAGATTTTCGATAGTACTTTAGGATTTATCCTAAGCGAATTTGGTTAGTGCAGCTGTAGTGGTTTAGGAGATATGCACATTAAAGATATTGGAGATTAGTATTTTATATTTTTAAATCGTAGGTGTTTTATACGTTTTGTCCTTATTTTTTTGCGTTTTGATTATTCGATTTGGTCCATTTAGGCACACAGATACAAGTATATTATCATTAGTAAAACACGCTCTCTTTGCGTATTTGCGAATATATGCGCTTTGGAATTAGGTATATAGCAGCTAAGAGAAGTCTTCATCCGATTCAACCCGTTTGACATATAGGCATACTGTTATCAGAAAGGATTCAAAACGGAGACGAAGGGGCCATTCATCCGCTGAAATTAAACTGGGCTATTGTCTTTGCACCGCTGCTGAAAATTCTTGCTTTATGAATCGGGGCAGAATCTTGTTGAAGCAGTTTGGACTATCGCGTAACATACTGGATACATGAGCAGAAAGTTTCCAACAAACACTTCCTCCAAATAATATTTTGCATTAAGTTTTACGCCTTTATCAATGAAAATGAGATTGAGTTTTGCTTTGGAGATATGGCACCCCAAACCATAACAGAGGTTGTGTTTTAATACCTTTCAATAGTTCTTTTATCAGCTGGAATATCAGACATACTTTTACATAAACGCGGTCATTTTGTGAATTGGCTTGCCTGTAACACAAAAAGTTTCTCATCAGAAAACAAAATCTCACAATGTGCGTGTCACCGAAGAACCAAATCATTTATTACTCTTCTCATTTATTTTCTCTCGTTCCGTTAGACAATGAATTCGTTCTTTCCTATAAGCCTTCATTCTGAAATTTTTGTTATAATATTTCTGATAGTTTTTCGGCTCATACTGAATCCATAGCCAGTTTCCTTCCAGAAATTGCACAATTTTCACTTATTTGCTCACGTACAATCTCACCAGATTTAGGAGTTCTGACCGTGTAACTCCGACCAGTTTTCTTTGATATTTAACACTTGTTGTTTTCCTTGAAATGTAATTTTCCCCACCTTTCTTTTTGATTCCATTAGTCACAAAAACTGAATACCAATTGATAAAACTTAAAATTATGTAATGATATATTAAAATATATAGTGGCAATAAAAATGTGTAAAGGGAAAAATGGTAACTTAACTTAGCTCGGTCTAACGCGAAGCTTCAAACAAGTGCGACAGTTATAAGGCCACGCGTATATAACTTTCATATTTATCTCGATTAGTTTAAGTGATACAAACAACGTTAGATGAACAAACCTATTATACCTTTAACATGTTGCGAGTATAAAAAAACAGTATATATTAATGAAAATATAATACTAACAATTATTTAAAGTAAAACTAAAGTATTATTTATTCATTTCATTTGATATATTGAAGTTGACGAAATTCGCGTAATATAAAGTTTTGAAACTTTCCATCTCGATTTCAAAGTTAAATATCGTAGATCTCACATTGCCATTCATGAATATCTTTAGGTAGATTTATAATAGCCAAGCAATAAAGTATGATTTTTTAACGAACAAATCTTAAGATCAACTTTAATTGAAATACATCTGATTAAAAATATTGTCTACCAAATCCTTTGCCTACCGAGCCTAGGTTTTTAGAATCAGCATGCTTATTCCGTGCGCGGTCTTTGGCATTTGCGCAGCTGTCGGTTAACACATCGTTTGGTCTGGTCTGTCGAAGGGTGCAGTGTACATTGCCGGCTGAAATAGCTCGCTCCCTTCTTTGGGTGCGACGAGGCATGGCCATCGAATTGAATTTCAACCCGGCCGCTTTTTTTCAAATCTCCAGATTGAGATCCCTTATTCAGGGTTCACAGGTATCGGCAATGCGTAAGCTGTCGCGCTCGTTGGCTAAAACAGCTGCTTCGGCTAGGAAATTGGGGCGGAGTTCCGCGATTCTTTCAGCCGCTATGAAGCGAGCGGTAGGAGCAGCGATCACCTTGCGGAATTGACGCTCGCCACGATGACGTCCGTAGGAATCGGTAAATTCTGTGAAGCCGACCCAGTTAGCTTTGCTTAAGTTAACAAAGGTGCGGTTGTCCACATAAATAAAGTCAGGAGGTTTCTCGATGGAGATAATTATTGGCAGGTGGTCTGATGCGAAAGTTAGCATAGGTCGCCAGGTTAACCAAAGTGCTATTTATCAGACCACCGCTAGCGATGGTAATATCTGGCGAGCTATTACAGGTGCTCATAATTCTGGTGGGTGCTTCGTCATTGTGCAGAATGTCGAATCGTCAATCTGTTCCGCCAGCTCCATCCCCCTACGATCGTTTGACAGGCAGGAGTGCCAACGACGGAAAGTGACACCAGCCAGTACAAGAATTGCACTTGACTGATGCGACGTTTCGGCGTATGACGGTCTGACACCCGGAAAAGACTGTGCGAGGAGTTGCTGAGTGGTTCATATTTCACCTAAATCTGATAATTCCAACTATCCGAAATAAAACCTTCGTTTTAATGGAGAAATAATGGATTATTTTTTACTAGACTTAGTTTCATTATTATATTATGCTTTATGTACGATGTGACAGAAACTAAACCAAAGTGGTTAAATTGAAATATTAGGGATAAAGGACTTCGAACATTTCATATCATTGAAATATCACATATATTGACCAACATAAACGGTTTAAAGTCATCTGGAAACTGAGAATCATTATATCGAAGTTTACTGGAAACATGTTCCCATACAATTTTATGAAGATAACTTACACACTGACCGATATATTTAGTATTAAGTTATACATATATTATATTATATAATATATAGAATAACGAAAATTATTATATTGTGTATACGGGAGCTAGGGTAATTTGTTGATCGATATCAGACAGTTTCGGCACTATACTATATTCAGTATTATACGTTCACTTAATTTTGCTTTGAACTCTTACATATTAACTGATCTAAGTACATATGTACGTAATCGGTATTAAGCCAACCTGAAGGCTGAAATTTGCAATTCAAAAGTTTCAGGATTTTTATTAAAAAACGAATATTATTTGTTTTTTTTTTTTGAAAAATTTATTGGTCGTCTTCAAAATAGTCTCCTTCCGCCTGAATACAACGTTTTGCACGTTCAAGAAGGTTATCGAATGACTTTTTTAGGTCATTTGTCGGTATAGCGTTGAGGATGGCGGTCGTCGCCTTTTGGATTGCATCAACGTCAGCATAGCGGTTTCCTTTCATGGCCAAATGTAGTTTTCCGAACAAATAAAAATTGCAGGGTGCCATATCAGGCGAATAGGGTGAATGGTTGATGATATGAATGCGATTTTTGGTCAAAAAATCTGTCGTGAGTGTCGAACGTCTGAGGTCTTTTTTGTGTTGTTT